CAGTATATGTTGTCAGAAATACATTGAATTATGTCCAGTCACAGAAATGTTACTGTATGTTCCTGTTTTGTACGTAAAAATGGACACATATACAGTTACATCAGTACTTTTGTTTTTTACTGAGAGGACTGAGACTGAGAGGACTGAGAGACGACCACCTGGTGGAGGAAGGCAAAGGCTGTTTTCAGAGGAGCAAAAGAGGGAGATTGTGAATATGGTTATTGCCAACAATATTACCCGCCTCCGAGAGATTCAACAACGAGTGATTGAAGACCAACAATATTTAGAGGGATAAACACGGTCTGCATCTCTACAATTAGTTTTTCTCGATTGCCAAAACACTATAACCAATCTTTTGAACTAAAATTTCAAAACCATAATGCTATTTTTCAAAAAGCACACCCATTTCCCTGAACTATAAACACTATTCCCCTGCTTTAACACGAGTCAGATTTGGTGAACTGATACTGCAAAACTCTATACACAAATCCCTACATTTTTCAGTGCTTACACCATGTGGTCATTTAGAAAGCACTAGCATTCAATAATGTTAACTTAAGTCAGCACAGCTTGAGCTCAATTAGCACACAATTAACCAAGTGGAAACACTAGGAGTCAAAATTTATCACACACCAATCAGAAACTTTGATGGATAGATAAAAGGGCCAAAGTCAGCTCATTCAGGTTTGAAACAATGGATCCAAAGAGATGCAAAGGAAGAGAAGGAGGAGGAGGAGGAGAAGGGGGAGAAGGGGAGGAACATAATTGGCCATCGGGCTATTGTAAATGTCCCTGGTCAGCGTGGAGGGAATCTCACTATGTGCAGCCATCAGCCAACGAGGGGTACTCCACCGCCATGCCATTCTAGGACCCTATAACACTATGCTTCTCCTTGCTTTTCTTGATGGTCCAGGACAACATATGTTCCAGCTGGACTACAGGGAACCAGCACAGCCAGAGCAGCCTCACTACGTTGTTTGGGATGACGTAAGCTTCCATCGCGCTGCTCTGGTTCATGACTGGTTTACCAATAACCCAAGGTTTTCTAACATCTTTCTGCCTGCATACTCTCCCTTTCTAAACCCGATAGAGGAATTATTTTCAGCATGGCGGTGGAAAGTGTACGACAGAGAACCTTATGTCCGTGTTCACCTCCAGGTCATGTAAGAAGCCTGCCTAGACATATCAGTAGATGCATGCCAGGGGTGGATCAGGCATGCAAGAGGATTTTACCCCCGCTGCCTGGCTAAGGCCAATATAGCCTGTGATGTGGATGAGATTCTCTGGCCTGACCCAGACCAAAGACAGGATGCTGAGGTGGAATAATGTTTTTGGTGTGTTTTACTGTATACTACATGAATAAAAATGTGCCACTGTATATACATTGGTTGTGTCTTTTGTGTTCATCATGTGAAAAGGTTTTTGAGGGGAAGAACCACAAGCAACATAACTTGCCAGTTTTGGAAATATTGTTTTTAATTTATTGCACCAATGTGTAAGACTATGTTGTAGTGTGTGTGTTTTTGAGGCCTTGTGTGTGATGTCTGTGGGCAAAGTTTGGTTTTTCAGCAA